GGTTCCTCAAAGTCTCAAAAAATTAAAAATAGAAGTACCCTATCACCCAGCAATCCCACTACTAGCTATATACTCAAGGGAAATGAAATCAGTCCCTGTCAGAGAGACACTGACTGGCACTCCCACGCTCACTGCAGCACTATTCACAAGAGCCAGAAGATGGGAACAACTAAATAAGTATCTATCAAGGGATGGGTGAATAAAAAAATGTGGTACAGATACACAATGGAACTACTCAGTCATAAAATGAATAAAGTCCTAACATTTGCAACAACATAAATGGAACTGGAGATCATTATGTTTAAATGAATTAATTCAGGCACAGAAACACAAATACCACATGGTCTTACTCATATATACAATCTGCAAAAGCTGACCTCACAGAAGTTGAAAATAGAATGGTGGTTACCAGAAGAAGGGTACAGTCAGGTGGGGTATGGATGGGGAGTGGTGGATCAATAGGTGCAAAGCTACAATGAGACAGGAGTAAGAAGTTCTGGTGTGCTACCGCACAGTGGGATGGCTACACATAAAAAGTAGTATTGTATAGTTCATAAAACTAGAGGATTTTGAAAATTGTTGCCATAAAGAAATGGCCAATGTTTGAAGAGATAAGTATGAAACACTATGCAATGCATACATATATAGAAACATTACATGGTGCCCCCGAACATGGATAAATTTTATTTCTATGCATCAGTCAAAAATAAATTTTAAAAATATTTTCTAAAAATAACTTAACCAGTCAGCTTAAAAATTGACACTGGTTATGCTACTCCTGTCTGAATGTCACAGTCCCAGCTGGAAGACCTTACAGATCCGTTTCACACCCTTGAAAGCTCTGCTTCACAGGGCAGAACTGCTGGCCTATTGAGTGCCTGTGTCCCACTTTTCCTCGCCTCATCAATCAGCTGGAATTTCCACAAGGAATTAGCTGTGAAGCCCCATGTTCCATCCTCCTCAGAGTGTGTGTCAACTACACTGTTACACTGTCAAGTACCAGAGAGATGGACCTGATATGGGTCTTATTTTACCCCAGAAACATCTAGGATTGGCCCACATAGAAGAATATGCATGTGATAAATGCCTGTTGTATGTGTGGTTCCAATGGTTTGGGAAGAGAAAAGCTTTTACCTCCTCTCCTTTGTAGAGCAGTTGTATTATATTAGCTACTGACTGTTAACTGTGCTTCCTAATTCATTTATTCAAATAGCCATGAGCTTGCTGGCTGCCTGAACTGGACTGGGGGCTTGGGATATAGCGGTGAATCAGACAAGCATGATATTGACCTCACAGAGAGGGAACAAACAAACAAACATGTTACATAATTTCAATAAGGATGACATATGCCACTGCTGAAAAGCAGCTGAACTTACAAGAGGAATAGAACACTGACATAGCCAAGGAAGGCTTCTGCAAGCCTTGTATACCTGGACCTGAAAGAGCTGTTAGTTTAGCAAGGTGGATGAGGAGGAAGGCAGGACCATTTAAGCCATGGTGAAAATTTGAAACTTAATCCTAAAAGCACGAAAAGCCATTGAGGGTTTTATGAAAGATAGTCATATGATCAGATTTGCCTTTTTAAAATGTCACTGTGGAGGTGGGCAAGTACAAATGTGGGACTTTCACAGAGCATATCCATGGATTCCTAGAAATTAATCAGCACCTCCTTGGTCATCATTCAATAGAACTTAAGTTTTGAGAACATAAAAGCTATGTAAGCTCCACAACCACAAGATCTGAAACCCAGCAAGCACCTTTGAGAGTACCTCTATTTCAGGGCACTCTCAAAGTACCCTCAAAGCATTAATTTCTACTGCTTGTACTGGCTACCCATGTCAATTTGTCACTTGGCATCAGCTTCAGTCCTGAACCAAGCCCGGTCTTGCTTATTCAGAACCAGAACCCAGCTATCCAGACTTACTGACCCAGCTCTGGTCCCTAAGAGCAGGGCAGTCAAAATACTTAGCACAAGGCATGAATCTGGAATATTATTTATGTTCTACTGTACCCAAAGACTGAGTGCCTCCAAGTGTTGGCCAGACTCCTGTGCCAGCTCCAAAAGGACACCTGGGTTCTGAATAACCAGTGTACCTTCCAGGAGTTCTACGTTGTGTCTACTCCCAAGGCAAGAATTCAAGGAGAATCTAAACCCCAAACATGGATAAATTTTATTTCTATCTCATAAACCATTAAACACAGATTGTTCAAATTCTGAGGAATGACTATATGAAATTTCATTTGGTTCTGAATGCTTAGGAGTGACACTTATTTATCTGTATATGTGACTTTCCCATAAATAAATGCTTTTCTGAAACCAAACTGAGACTGCTTGGTGATGGCCTTAATTGTTCTTCTGGACAGTAGATAACCATTCAATTCTCAAAGAGACATAAAACCATATATTGGCAATTAATTAGTATGTTCATTTCTAAAAATACATATCTCCCTCAATTACATCCTCCTTTAACCATTTTTAATCAAAATAAAAAATAAGCCTCAATCTCACAATGTTTCCTTTCTAAATTTTCAGTATATCTACTCTGAAAGTAAAGAACCCTTTAAATCTAAATGAAATGGAACTCATTCTTCTAAGGGGCAGGAGGGCGTTAACAGAAATCATGTAGACTTAAGAGGCCCAGCTTCATCTCTTCTTGGATATGTGACTGCAACAGTTTCTTAATTTCTCTGGCCCTTGATATTTCTATGCATAGAATGAAGCTGTCCATAGCATTTGCTTTCTCAGGCTGCCATTTCATATTACTACAAACTGGATGGCTTAGACAACAGACTTTATTCTCTCACAGGTCAGGAAATCTGAAACTAAAGTGTCAGCAAGGTTGGTTTCCTGCAGATGCTCTGTGGGAGAAATCCTTCCTTGCCTCTCCCCACCTGTGGTGGCTCCTGACATTCTGTGGCTTATGCCAAGGTGTCACAACTCCCACCTCTGCTCTCATTCCTCCCATAGTTGTCTTCTGAGTCTCTCTGTGTCCTCTCTCTTTTTCTCTTACAAGGGCACCAGTTCTTGGATTTAGGGTCCACTCTAAATTCACAGGGAGTTCATCTCAAGATTCTTAACTAATTATATTTGCAAAGATCCTATTTCCAAATGAGGTCACTTTCTGAAGTTCTGGGTAGACCTGAATGGGGTGGGGGGTGTGCAGGAGAACATACTATTCAACTCCCTACACCTATCCATGACACAGTATAATTCTATTACACTCAGGAAAAAGACAGGTTCCCAAAGAGGATTTGTTAACACAGTGAATTTTTAGTCCATTCTTTACACTATAAATTGTTCAGTTGAATTTCATTTTCATATTAAGAAAATGTTCACTTTAAAAGATGAGACAGTGATTGTAACTAGCACTGTGCTGAAAATGCATTATTGCTCAATAAACATTATATTTCTCTCCCTGTCCCCTATATTTAGCCCAAAACTGTGAATTACTAGCATAATTCATGTGTGAATCCCAGGAAATCATAGGGTATTTTAATATCCTATGCAAAAATAAAGAGAAAAGTTTCTTGCCCAAAACAATTATTTCCTGGGGTGAAGCAGGATAAGTAGTTCTCTTTTCAAAATTTGACCAATTACTATTGCCTAAATATTATGGCCTAAGCATACAGCTAAGGTATCTTTGTATTTCTGTGGAATAAAAAGGTTATGAAGAAGGATTTGGGTAAAAATTAGGGGCTTGTATTTTGTTATTTTTTATCTAACTTGCTAATAACCATTTGAAAACTTCTTTGGTCTGCTATCAATTAAATTCCTGGTCCCCATCCTTTCCCATATTTTTTTCTATATTTTCCACCCTCACATTATCTCATCTCTAGCATGTTTTAAGAAGGAAAAAGAAAACAGAATGTTATTCCCACATAGTTTGTTCATCTTCAAAATAGCAGCTGTGCTGCCATAGGTAAACAAAATGTGATTGAAAGCTGCAACATGGGGGCTGGCGGGGGGTGGGGGCAGGAGAGAGTAGCAGCCTTACTAGGAGCACTGGGACTTCATTTGATCTCACACACTCCACTTTCCTTGCTTCTTGCCCACTTAGGCTCTGTATCCAAACCCACTGGGGCTGAGACAGTCGCCTGTACCATCTTTCCAAGAACCACCAGGGACATGGCAGTCCAACCTAAAACTCCCAAAGAAACTAGTCTCAAAAACAAATGCTTCCAAATATCCGTATATTTGGCCCTGCTTTGAGTTTTACACCCTGTGGTCAGGAACAGATATAGAGAAAGTATAATGAGGAGGCTTATGATATAGGTTGCTCTAATTTGCTACACCTTGAGCCTATTGAAAGAGCCAGTTCTACCTGGTTCTCTTTTCAAAGTACAGCTGCATTATTTCTATTACAATTCTTTCCTCTAAGGTTAGAAGAATCAGAATCAAAGACAACACTCTGATGCCAGAAGAACAAAAACCCTTTGTATTTCACCAAAGTATTCAACTTCCTACTTTTTTCACATCTTCTGGGATTATATCTTATCTTAAAAATACACACATTTTATTCCTTACCATCTCTTGCAAATTAAAGGTCAAGTGATGAGAGCATGAGACATGACATTATATGTCAATCAAGCTGTCCATGCACACCATTTGTTAAATACACCATGGTTGGATAAAATATCACAGATCCTCTGATTACTGCAAAGTGAGCTTTAAAAAGTCACTCTCCTGGGCTGGGGATGTGGCTCAAGCAGTAGCGTGCTCGCCTGGCATGCGCGTGGCCCTGGGTTCGATCCTCAGCACCACATACAAACAAAGATGTTGTGTCTGCCAAAAACTAAAAAATAAATATTAAAAAATTCTCTCTCTCTAAAAAAAATAAAATAAAAAAAGTCACCCTCCCCCAGTTGAAGCACTATATGTGATGTCACTGAACCTCCAGAAAAGCAGACTGAAAGAAGCCCACCAAACTGAAAATGTCTATCAAAGAGAAGCTAAAGATTAATTGGGAGGCATGCCAAATACAGGTAAGACAATCCCTTACCTGGATTAGGTTGAAGGTATTCAATTGTTTTAGTCATTATTTCCATCACAGCCCTGCTGGTGACATCCACTTTCTGAAATGAGAAAATACACATCCTGAATGACAGAAATCATTAGTGTTTTTGTTAAGTCTATAGAAAACCACTATTGGGACAACAGAGTAATATCAAGTCCATCAGTAGAAGGTGAGGGACTGTGGGGAGATGCTAAAAGGAATAATGACTGTCTATCAAGATCTGAAAAACATATTTATTCGAGGAGGAAGCTAGTAATTGCCTAAAATTTGTTTCAAAATATGCTTCATTATCTTCTGGCAAAAATAAGATTGAGACAGTGAATCATATTTTTTTCCAGAGGCATTTAATGGATGTCTATGAAGAGCCATGTATGGTGGCAGATTTCACTGCTCGAAAGAAAAAATAATGTGCCAGGTGTGATGGGGCCTGCCTGTAATCCCAGGGGCTTGGGAGGCTGAGGCAGGAGGATCACAAGTTCAAAGTCAGCCTCAGCAATTTAGTGAGGCCCTAAGCAACTTAACAAGACCCTATTTTAAAATTAAAAAAAATTAAAAAGCCTGGGATATGGCTCTATGGTCAAGTGTCCCTGGTTTCAACTGCTGCTACCAAATAAGTAAATAAATAAATGACAGAAAAAGAGAAAAGAATGCAGTATCAACTCTGCTTATTCAAGTGTGAGAGGGAAAGATTTTATTTAACTTCTGAGAACATCCTAAGGATACAAAAATCTTCAGTTAACATATTTGACCAATCCTTGAACATAAGGTAAACTCTAAATAAAAACTGTGATGTTAGAGTCTATCTCAAAAAAATTCTGTGTGGTCAGCACTTGCTGTTCACTAAGCCCTCCCTGTCAGGCCCATCTTCCCATGGGAAGAGATGATGGAAACTACTCAATGCAACCAGATCCCCTCCACCTTGCTCCACCAAATCCTTTGTTGTCAACACATATGGTACACTCATTCACACTACAGGGAAAATGACTGTTGGAAATAAATGCATCCATGTGTTCCAGGTACATGCATGTACTATATGGCATACGTATCAGGCATAGGAGGCAATTTTAATGGTGAAATTTGGATATTAAGTGCATGAAAATTGGAGATCAAGGGCTCCTCCCTCAAATCTAAAAAGCTTCCATAGTTTATTGTATACACATATAAAATCAGCCTTGCATGGCGTAAACCTCCTTGTATTTCATAATCTACCTATTAAAAGATATCATCTTGCAGTTCAGTTTTCAATGCTTAATAATCTCCCATTCCATGACAGTCACATAACTCTGTGTGTGTGCACTGTTACAGGGATAAACAGAGGAAACAAATTTTTTTGTCAAGGAATCATGGTATAAAACTACCTTTAAAAGCATACTATTTCAGATTAACCAGCTTGCAATGGAGTCTTGTACCAAGTCCTTTTGATTGACTCAACTTCTTTAAAATTTATTCTCATTAGTTATACATGACAATAGAATGTACTTTGAAATATTATACATGCATGGAATATAATTTCTCTTTCTTCTGGTTGTACTTGTAGAAGTACATAGGTCATGTAATCACATACGCACATAGGAAAGTAATGTCTGACTCATTCTACTATCTTTTATATTCCCATTCCCTCTCTCTTCTCTTTTTTTTTAATTTTTTTTTTATTGGTTGTTCAAAACATTATAAAGCTCTTGACATATCATATTTCATACATTAGATTCAAGTTGGTTATGAACTCCCAATTTTACCCCAAATACAGATTGCAGAATCACATCGGTTACACATCCACATTTTTACATAATGCCCTATTAGTAACTGTTGTATTCTGCTACCTTTCCTATCCTCTACTATCCCCCCTCCCTCCCCTCCCATCTTCTCTCTCTACCCCATCCACTGTAATTCATTTCTCTCCTTGTTTATTTTCCCATTCCCCTCACAACCTCTTATATGTAATTTTGTATAACAATGAGGGTCTCCCTCCATTACCATGCAATTCCTCTCTCTTCTCTTAATTCCACTTTGTCTAATCCAAAGTACTTCAATTATTCCCTATCCTCCACCCCTATCGTGAGTTATCAACCACATATCAGAGAGAATATTCAGCCTGTTTTGGGGTGATTGGCTTATTTCACTTAGCATGATAATCTCTACTTTCTTTTTTTTTAGGTTTTTGCTAATTTATTTTGAAATAACAATAATATAGGCAGTGAATGTAAGCATAATTAACACTTCTATTTTTAAAAAATCTATATTTTCAGAAAAGATATTGTGAATAAAAAAGTGGCAGTTTTACAAATCTTTTAAATGTCTTCCTTAATGGGAGTCAGCTGGAATCTTCTAGCAGATTCCACATTCAGTCTGTTGCAATGTATTGGTTTGTGCTGAAGTATATCAAGGAAATCCAGCATCGTACAGATATATAGTAGAAAAAGGGAAAATAAGTTATTAGGCTTTACAGATAATTGTGAATATTCTTTGACAAGAAGGACTTAAGGTCCACCTCAGTTGCATTCTACTAGTCTACTGTGTATTTTTAGTTTTTATTTATTTATTTATTTATTTTTTATTAGTTGCACATGACAGTACAATGATCTTGACATATCATACATTTGAATCAAACGGGGTATAATTTCTCATTTTTCAGAATGTACAGATTGCAGAATCACATTGGTTATACAGACACATATATACATACAGCAATACTAGTGTCTATTTTATTCTCTGCCCTTCTTAACCCCCCTTCCCCTCCCCTCCCCTCCTATCATTTTTCTCTACCCAATCTAATGTGACACATTTCTTTTTTTCCCCCTCACATCATCATACATGTATTTTGTATAACGATGAGGGCCTCCTTTCATCTTCCGTGCAATTCTCCTTCTCCCTCCCATTCCCTCCCACCCAATCAACAAATGGGCCAAGGACCTGAACAATCTGCAGTAAAATTTAAGGTCTGGTGTTGTGATGCCTCTTGCTTCACTTTTCTTGCTATGGATTTCTTTGGCTATTCTGAGTGATTGACTCAAATTTTTAAGATGTTCTGGGTTGGAACATATAGTTCAGAGATTAGTTCTAAAAAGAACAGTAGCCCTTGGAGTTATGCACTGCATACCTTCTGCTACCACACATGGAGGTCCTGGTAGTATTAGTAAAACGTCAGTCAGTATCTATATCCTCAAGTCATGGAATGGTTTAGGGTCAGGACAATGAATCCGAAGGGTATATGCAGAACAAACATGCAGAAGCTTCATAGAACGTGAGTGGTTGGAAGACAAATGCAGATCACCTGCTAACTATATGACAGGCATTAAGGAAGAAGATGTCGGATATACCCAGAAATCCTGTGGCTATAATAGGAAGGAAAACAGTTCCAAAAATCAAGGTTTCTAAGAAGGAGTGCCAGAAGACTGGAACTGTCAGATGACCCTGATGTCATCTGCTGCTAGGAGACACCAATTATTTCTAACTTTCTTCCTTCTCTGTCCTTAATAATAATAATAATAATCATTACTATCACAAGATGTTTTCTATTTGTCAGAAACCAGTCTAAGGGATTTAAATATTGTTACATGGATGAGGAAATAGAGCCTAAGACACCTGCTCCAGAGACTGTGTTCCTAAACACTACCCTATATCTTCTTTAGAAGACAGGCAGCAGGGGCATGCCCCAGCCTGAGAAGAGATACCAAGTCAGAGTTGAAAAGGAGTTTGTACCCTCCCCCACATGGACAAGGAACCTGACAGCAGTCAACCAAAAAGGTCAGGAGGAAAGCAGCTGCCATCCCATCTTCTGTTTCATTTTGAACGTCCTCAAATTCTATAAAGTCCAATCACAAAAATTATTCCACCCTGAGCCCTACAGAAGGAGGGCTCTCCCATGCTGGGCTGCTGGGCCACAAATTCTCAGTTCCAAAGGTGCCTCTGCAGAAGCTGGTGCCAACAGCACACACCTCACATTGTCCACAGGAGATTCAGCAAGGAAGGCTGTGAAAAGTAGTTGTCATTCAAGTGGGGAATCCCTAGCCCTTACCAAGATTTGTAAATATTGAGCTTAACTACTAAGGCTCTCTACAGAGAGGCCATTCACTTGGTTAAAGCCAGTGGTCCCAGAGGCACAGGGATCTTGGAGATACCAATATTAGAGTACCATTTTGGGTACCTAGAGGGGATTCAACCTTAAAAAGACTTGGGAATAGAAACTATTCCAGTGTCACTGATGACTTGACCAAAGTCTCCCAGGACCATTACAGGGCCTGTTGTCCACTGAGGCTGACTCTTTCAACCTCTCTGGTTACCTAATCCAGACATCATTATAGAACCAGCTCTATCCAAACACTGTTGATCAGAGCATAAGAGCATAAAATGGGCTTCTTTGTAAGTCCATCTTTGGGGAAAAAAACTTTATCCAATAGAATTATTTGTGTATTTTCTTTTTACGACATACACCAACAGGGAACAGCTTTTAGCAAATCCATCCATGGGCCCTTGATCTTTATGTACTCTGACAGATAATCACTCGATTAAGTTAATAACCATAAGAAGAAGAGACCAGAAGCACAATTAGTCCAAAGCCTTGATTTTTCAAAAGTGAGAGTCTTAAGGCCTAGAAAAGGGAAGGAGCTCCCTAAGGTCAGACAGCTAGTGTTATTATGGGAAGCAAACTCAAGGTCATGGATTAGGTTTCTAAGAAAGAGTACTAGAGCTGAATTGTCTCATGACCATTTGCTATTCCAGAGTCATCTGCCAGGAGGAGGCTGACTAACTTCTCATCTCTCTCCATCTCTGTCCTCAATAATAACGTTCAGGACTTTTGCTAAGTTATACTGTATTGGCCACAGACAAGCCATGGATCAAAATCCTAAACGTGCCTTGCAAGGTACTGGCTAGGAAAGCTATACCTGAACAGGCAAGAACATATTCTCTTATTATCAGAACTGATAAAATGAACATGAAGAAGATGTACCCTTACATCATTTATTATAAGCAAGAGTTTATTCCCACTTAAGAAAAACACAGTGTAACTTTGAAATTATGACATATAGTTCTTTATTTCTTCAATTCCCAAATTTTCCA